GGCGATCGAACATTCAATGACGGCGTACTTGTTGCTCACGAAGGGAGATGCCTCCTTGGCGCGCAGAGGGCCATTGGCGAAAACCCGAGCTGTTCACATGAATTGTTAGTCGGACTTCTGGGCTGCTTCCTGGGCAGTGGGAGGGACATACCGGCAGGCCTTGTGGAGGAGAAGGCTCTCGTCTGAAGTCTGGAGGCGCGCGAAAACTGTACCTCGGGTCAGCGAAAGCCAGAGAAGGTAAGATCTCGTGTCGAAGAACGTACGGAGGGCGCGGTGGCCAGTCTCCTCATTGCCATGGAGGATGCCATGATCGTCAATTGGATGTAGTCTCTGTCCTACGAAGCGGTTGGTGATGAGAATGCTCTGGACAATGATTTCGAGACGTGCATTGGAGGCGAACAGTGGCAGCTCTCGGTCGCCCTCGGCCGGGTTGGCTCGACCCTGCCGACCAATCACAGAATTTGTGATTAGCTCAGTAGCCGGTCCATTGCCGACGCGCCACGTTTGTCGAGCCACTTCCGATGCACATCAGCCACATTCTTCTCGGTCCATGACAACTAGACTTCACATGTTGCCCCTTCCCCCTCCTCTCCTCTCTCCGAAGCAGGGTCTCATTTACCCCCTTCTTAGGGTGGTCCACTTGCTATTTTGTCCACACTTGTGTGCACCATCTGGGTCAACAGTGCCTCGTGACTCTCTCTGAATGTCGAATGCCTTGTCTGCCGAGGTACACCCCATCGTTTTGCCCTGCTTCCCTCTAGCCCAAGTGCCTCAGCATACCGTTGTCTCCTATGCCATTGCGAAACCTACGAAACAGACATAGTAATGAACGGCCGCTTTTTTTATCATAGATTTCAGCGTTGCACACGCAATGCAATTGCAGTGCTCTACATTGAAGGATCATCGCCGCCAAGCATAGACCCAAAATCTTGGGCGACCATCGGTGCCACCCATGACTACTAGCCTGTCAGACTCCTCGTGACCATGGGTCCTAGATACGGAATCGGTGGCGTCTACATGTGTTCTGCTGACGATTATTACTTGAGCAGACGAATATGAACAGAAAAGTTGACTCGGGGTGTACGACAGCTCTGTGATTCCGAAGCCTGCGATTTTCTATGACACAAAAACGTGGCCTACGGCACCGAAAAGCTTGCAGCATAAGGTACGCCGAGTGGCATGCTAAGTCGATGCCCCAAATCATTAGCTACTGAG